CACTTACCTCATATCATGCAAGCTGAAGTGGACTGAAGCTTCGACGCCGCCATGGCCTCGTCAGCACCCCTAGCAGGATTCGATACCGGGTCGAGTATCGTGGCGATGTTACAATCCAGCTGAGCGCTGATGAAACCTGAGGGGTCAAAACTACATTCCGTCCTGAACGAAATTAGCTTTTAGGGGGCAATAATAAAGGAAATTTAACAACATCGTAAGGCGCACGTGTCATTGTAGGAAAATTCAACCCTTAAATCACCTGGACTTACTAACATCTTATAGAAGAAAAGAACACGCAGCAAATGATGAGAAAGATAAGGAGTCTTGCAGAAGGGACATGACAGCCGAGGTAGTGTGCCTTCGGCGCACCAAAGCGTCGGTTGCTATGACAAACTGGTGCCAGCTAAATGGCGAAACCCAGTATTGAGGACAGCCCAGAACAGCCCATCGGAAAAGTGGAACTCTGGAACTTGCTAGCGTAGCAAGGATCTTTGGGGTCTCCGAGGCTCAAGCCTGGGTCTACTGTTCAGGTCGGAGGATTTATGAGCGGCAAAAGCGTGCTGCTTGTCAGATTGGATGTCTTGTAAGGATGGTAGTAGGTGCAGTGAAAAGGATTGAGACGAGACAATACAGCATCATCAAGCATCGGAAAAAAAGTGGAACCTCAAAGATTGGAGGTCTGGTGAAGCAGCCAAAACGACCCCTCAGCCAAGAAATAAACAAGGGAAAAAAGGTCTAAACCGCAATTACAAGCGAATGTACTAAGGCAGTGATTCCTAAATTGTGCGCCGCGGCATCTTCACAGGAGAGCCGCGGAATACTGTGAAAGCTTCCATTTGAGAAAATGTGTAGTGATTTGCAGGCTCATCCATCACATTAATTATTAAATATTAATTTAATGTTAATAAGTAAAAAACATAATAAAGATACACGAGTTTTATTCATTTTATCTCTTACTTACGAATAGTCATACTTAGGGTAGGGCGCCATGGAAAAATTCTAATTGAAAAGGGGCGCTTTGACTAGGAAAAGTTTGGGAACCATTGTACTAAGGAATGATGACGATTCAAAATACGGCCTAGAGGATGAAAGGCAGAATCGGTTGGCCAGCCGAATTGACCAATCAGAATGAAGGCCTTTTGAAGACTCGATCAATACAAAAATATCGCAGCTTCGGACTGCAGCCTAAGAAAGGCTTTGGCTGAGCTGGATAGATGGCCCCGCCTAGTTTGCCAGTCAGGAGACAGTTTCACTTCAACCAATGAGGAGGCTGTGACTGAGTGGGAGTCCAATAGCCAGACAGAGCCGATTAGCGTCCTGCGACCTGCGGCCGAGGCTTGAGCCCGTCATGGACTGCATGACGAAGATAAGTGCACTGCCCTGTTGCCATTGTAGGCATCGGCGCTTTCGCCTCTCCTTTCTTCTGCTCCTCCTCCTACTTGGCGGATTCACTCTTTTCTGTATCATTTCACTTCACCGCCTTCATCACTTCAGCCAAAAGGCTTCCGTCCAGCCGGACTCGAGATGGTCGCCTGGCAGCCGGCGACAAGTGGCGTCAACCGCCTGCAGACTGCCCTCCTCCCTCCTGACTCGGGGCGTCACCGCGGCGCCGGCCTCGAGACTGGCACCGCTCATCTGTCCGGACCACTTCATGCTAACCGCTCTCGAGCCGAATCGGTCTTTTTCACTCGCGCAACATCTGCCCACCAGAGCCTGGCTGCGTCACGGACGTATCCGAATCAGTCGGCCGGCAACTGGCGTCGGCGTCGGCGTC